TGACTCAAAGGTCCTGTGAGGAAACTAGGCTCCAGAGTGCCTGTCCATGATCACTCGCTCGTGAGTGACAAGGCAGTGCCAATGTATTTTTATTTCTATTTAAGTGTCCATTTTTGATAGGTCGTACCATAGCCATTTAGCAGCATGTTGAAACTTTTAAGCAGCATTTAAAATTTCCTTTGTCTGAACCAGAAATCACATCAACAGCATAATGTTAACTTGTTTCTGATTACAAAAATAACACTTGGAAAATAAAAGTGTAAAGAAGAAAATGTAAAAACCAGATTATTATTTTCCTGTAGTGGAAACAACTGTGAGTGTATTGCCTCTTCATCTTTTTTTCTCATCACATGGTTATTTTCACTTACTCTAACATGAGCATTTTTCAATGTCTATTTTACCACCTTTCCTAGTCAAGTTTTGAAGTAAATACACACACACACACACACACACACACACACAAAATAAATTAGCATCTTTTTTGTTTGTTTTTTTGAGACGGAGTTTCACTCTTGTTGCCCAGGCTGGAGAGCAATGGCACAATCTTGGCTCACCGCAACCTCTGCCTCCTGGGTTCCAGCAATTCTGCTGCCTCAGCCTCCCAAGTAGCTGGGATTACAGGTGCACACTGCCACCACACCCGGCTAATTTTTTGTGTTTTTAGTAGAGACGGAGTTTCTCCATGTTGATCAGGCTAGTCTCAAACTACCGACCTCAGGTGATCCACCAAATAACTTCTTAAAAATAAGGTCAAAATACTCAACTATATTTTGCAAGCCAAAGGGTTATCTTGCAGAAGAAGTAGGCACTCGCAGATTCAGTTATTAAAATCCTACTTATGGTTTGCTTGGAGAGGATAATATATACAGTGTCCTCAGCAGTCATTGTGGTGTGGTGCGAATAGCGCAGGCTTTGCATTCGGGCTGACCTGACTGAATCCTGGTCCCACTACTTGCTAACTGCATGATGTTGGACAATCACTTAACTTCTCTGACCTTTGGTTTCCTGTCTTTAAAATGGGATGAATGATACATACCATTCAGGGCTGCTTTAGGATTAGAGACAGCAAATATAAGTAAAGTGCCTGACCTGGTGTCTGGATGTGTTAGCCATAGGATAAGTGATAGTCAGAAGAAACCTAAGGCCTTAGGCTTACAAAACTGAAGTAATTTTGTAAAAATTAAAGGCAACCATGTTATAGCCGTAATTAACTAAGTAACTGTGTCTTCAAAATATTTATTTACATAATTTACCATTTTGCCTTTCTCTTGCAAATATGTTACTGCCCAAAGAGGAATGGAAAATGATGAAAAAGTAACTGTCTGGAAATGCTTTCTACCCTGGCAGGCCATGGTCCAGGCTACAGTGTTTACCTCATTTCAGGAAAGTCCAAAGCATGATGGGCCTGGAATAGGTCTTAGAGATTCACTGATGAGTTCCCAAGGAACATTCACAATCCAGGGCAAGAGATTCAATTCAGAAAATGCAAAAACCTTTTCACCACACTTTTTAAAAAAATTCAGAATAGGCTTCAGTGAACCCTATTGTGGGTGGCAGGAGTTGGGGTCAGGGGTATAAATTCTGAAAACTTGAGTTGTTTTATTGAACATAACAAATGTTGGGGAAAATTAAAAAGGTATTTCTTTTAGGCAGTAGGAGGTTAATACCTGACTGTGTCTGCAGAAAAGCAACATTGAGGCAACTTTTAAATCTTTATTTCCAAATAAGACGAGAAAGTTAGAGGAAATCACTCATGTCTGATCTAGAGAGAATTAGAGACATAGACATATCCCAAATAAGAATACTAGTAAGGTATTTGTTTCCTTTATAAAAACTTGCCTAATACCATACTTATATCACTTACAAATGCCTTACTAGTACGTAAGTGATGTAAGTATGGTATTAGGGAAGTTCTTATAAAGGAAGCAGGACAATATCTCTAAGAAAATGATACGTAAGTGGGTCTCACAGGATGAACAGAAATTCAGCAGCAAGGATAACTGCCTTCCAGACCCAGTTAACTGTATATGTAAGTCAACAGTGGATTATGGAGAGCATGAGGAAGGAGTGTGGGTGGACAGTGAGCTTAGAGCCACTGCACTAGTACTAAGTTTGAATTACGGAAAAGACAGCAACGTTTTAATTTACATTCAAGAGAAATGTCGAAAATGTTATATAATGAGTAAAAGCAAAAAGAATAGCAGAGCCAGTCAATCAATATAAGATGATTATTTTAAACACAGAAAATACACTTAAATGTGCCTTTGCCTATGAAGGAGTGAAGGACATGCCATCTCAAAATATGTCAGATTGGTATATTGATTGTTTAGAGGTGAAAACTTTGAAGAAATTAGAATTTCATGAGGCTATGTGGACGGGATGCCTTCCTGAGCTAGGAGCTTCTGTATACAGAAGAGACACTGAATGAAATTGCCAAGATGATGATGTATATCCCCAAGGAGGAACAACTCTTTTCTTCCCAAGACTGCAAGCCTATTTCCCAGAGGATTAACTACTTCCTGTCAGGAAGGCTAGATGAAGACTTCCTGGAGCTGCCTTTCTTCCACTAACAGGACCCTGGGACCTGTAGGAGCACCCCATTTGGGACTGTGAGGTGCTTGAAGGGGTGTGGACTGGCATCCAGCAGTCACTAACACATAACTGGTGTGTAAAAGGCAGGCATTACATTAGAAGCAGAGTCAATCCTTTTTTTGGAGGTCCCACTGAGATAGGAACTTGGATCACTGGATTCAAAGAAACAGAGCCAATTCTTAAGATCACTTGGTGCTTAAAGACACGCATTCCAAAGTCTAATGTGCTTGAAGAAAGTGGGCCAGGTGGTTGAAGAAAGCCATGTGGGAGCTCAACAAATCCCAAGGGCTTATTATGATGCTGCAGATGGTCTCCTTAGCATCTCAGCTCTACTGCAAGGAAGAGCTTGGGTGTTAGGCCTCAGAGGCTGTAAGGTCCTTGGGTTACAGAGCAGGGGAGAATGAAGTTCTGTGACCCAGGGGTGGAGAGTACACTCTAGGTTTGCAGGCTGGTGGTACTCCCAGAGGAAAGCCAAGCTGCTTCTGCTGTGAGCGGATCAGCAAAGAGCCTCAGGCTGAAGGGAAAAGTGCACAGAGGAAGATATTTTACAAATCAGGTCAGTTTAGGCCAAGACTTATTATGCTCTACAAATTTTGAGGGGGGTGGGGAACTTTTTACAAACAAGTAGGGGTCTTGACATGTTATATATAAAGATTAAAATTTTTGATTTTTCTAAAAAAAAAAAAAATTAAAGGCCAAGGTTTGTCCTTTCCTGCATGCAGCAAGTGATCAAGATCCCTCTGGGAAGAGTACCCTCTCGATACCAAGGTGAGAAAACAGCGCTTATCAGCAGAGACTTGGAATTGGAGGCTGCAATGGACCTGAATAAACATATTTACCTTATCTTCCATCTGTTTTACACACCCCCACACCATATATCTCCAGCGACTCCCCTAGAAAATTGACTTCCTCTAGCCAGATTTTCCTTGTCCTGTTATGTTCCTCATACTTATCACTCTGTGCCTAAAAATGTATAAAAGCATCTTGCTTTGGCCACTTCTTTGGACTTCACTTGCTTGTAAAGATCCCCATGTACATGCAAAACTAATAAAATTTGTAGACTTTTCTCTTGTTAATCTGCCTGGTGTCAGTTTGGCTCCCAGATCCAGCTGAAGAGCCTACTAAGAGCCAAAAGGGCACTGAGGGTGATCTGTTCTCCTCTACACTAAAATTGGACCAGTGTCTTATTCCAGTCCAACTAGTTGGCCAGTGCTTCAAAGGAGAGTGAACTGCATTACCCCACATCAGAAATCTGTTAGCATAATAAGTAATCCGATTGATAAAACATCTAAACCATTTGCCATGACTTGTTCTGTAAAGTGTTTAAAATCCATCATGCCCGGAACTACTGATTCTCTCCAAGTTTCCATTATTCACCACTGATTTGGTTAAAGATCGCTTTTCAGAGAGAAGTTTATAGAAGTGGCAAAAAATACATATATATTTATATAAACAAATATAAATATTATATACATATATCTTTAAAATTAGTGATAAGAGACACTTTGGTCGCAGATCAGATAGGAAATAAGTAAATAGAAAAGTTGAAAACCTAAAACTCATGCTATTCTTATTACTTTATTTTCTCATAATTATTTTTTGATGTTTTCCTTTGCTGTAAGCACTAGATGAGGAGCCAGGAAGCCAGGATTCTAGACCCAGCCATATCGCTTTCTACACATTGCCTCATCTCAGACACATCCTTTTACTTTTCTAGCCCTTGGTTTCCTGATCTCTAAAATGAAAGGATTTTCAAATAGGTTCCGCAGGATATAGCAGAGATGCTTCAAGGGCCACTCTGGAAGATGAAGGGAGGCCTCCTGCCAACCTTTCCCCTTCAGACAGAGCAGCTTCACTTTTATTTGTATTGTAAGTTGGGGCTGTTACAAGATTTTTTTTTTTTTTTTTTGACAAAAGGATTCTGTCACTTTTTAAAAGTTTGAAAATCACTGAGCTAAATGTTCCATAAGGGCCTATCCAGCTCAGAAAACCAGTTTCATAGCTGTAGAATGGGGATAACAATAGTTCCTTCTCTTAGGTTTCTGAGAGGTAAACAAGATATTACATGTAGAACAGGGCATAGAATGTAGGGAGCATTCAGTGTGTTAGCTGTTAGTCTCTGCCACCCCTTCCCCAGCGGGTCCCACACAACTAAGACAGCATTTCCTGTGACTGCATACTTCAGAGTATGAAATGATGGCCTGAAAAATTGCCTGATCCATCTGCTTTATATCAACAACACCATAAAAATGTCTTGGACATGTTCTCTGTGAATTTTTAATATAGTTTATTTCTAGTTTTTGTACTTTGCCTTTTTCTCTCACAATTGAATTTTCTTCTTTCATTTCAGATTTTTAAAATAATTATGATAATGCATTTTTGAAAGTTAATGTGTTGGTGTGTTCCAGACTTGTCAGCTTGTGGGAAAGTGACATCAGCGTCCACCCGCTAACCCTGCCCTCTGCAACCTGCTTGGAGCTGCTGTTGATATTATCAAGGAGTAATGCCAATCTGCCTTCATCCCTTTGCCATATGAATTCCTTTCAGGTGAGCAATGGCTTCTTTTCTAGGCTGTGATTTCTCAGTTTTACTTGGAATTATTTTTCAAGGATCCTCTCTTTCACAGGAGATAGCCCGTGGAATTTCCCAGTTTCAAATCATAGCAATAAGCATAATGCATGTATTGCTTTGTCTATATGTTTTTTGTTTATTTTTTGGAGGCAGAGACTCACTCTGTTGCCCAGGCTGGAGTAAAGGGGCACAATCTCGGCTCACTGCAGCCTCCGCCTCCCAGGTTTAAGCAATTCTCATTCCTCAGCTTCCCGAGTAGCTGGGACTACAGGTGCATGCCACCACACCTGGCTAATTTTTTGTATTTTTAGTAGAGACAGGGTTTCACTGTGTTGCCCAGGCTGGTCTCAAACTCCTGAGCTCAGGCAATCCAACTGCCTCAGCCTTCCAAACTGCTGGGATTACTGGCATGAACCGCCGCATCCCGCCTTTGTCTATCTTTTTTTAAATAAATGAACAAATAGAGGCTCAGAATTGACTAGGTAATTGTCTAGTTGTGGCAGAACTCACAGCTCTGTAACTCCAGGCTTTGTTCTCCAGCTCCCATCTTCCTTCTGGGAAATGGCCAGAAGATCTGGCAGACACTTGTGAATGCCACCTCCCTTCTGCCAAGTTTGCAGGAGACCCAGGAATCTTAATCATTATTAGTGGGTTTGCTGCTGTTAGCCTGAAGTCAAATTGCCAAATGGATGTTTAACAGGATTGGTCTGTTTAAAGGTGTTCTACTTTCCGAGCCATTTCCCTCTCTCTCCTTAGCTCTCTCCCTTATCACTTCCCTACTGCCCTTGATATTTATTTGTTCTAGTCTAAGTCATTTCTGCAAATGTAGACTGGCCAGCAAGATGACCAGTAGGAAGACTCCCCACCTCCCTCACAGTCAGCTAATTGTCAGATGAGGTGGCAAATGAGAATTAAATGTTAACTTGTGGCTTAAGTTGTGGCCCTATCACTACTACATGTAATTGCACATATCTGCGACTCTTCACAATGGGAAAATACTCACAAGCCCTCTGGTGCTAGTGGTAATACAACGTACGTTGCTGAGGAATATATAAACATGGGATTTTTCTACTTCTGGGTTTTTAATGTATCGTAAGAAAACTTCAGGAGCATTGTATATTGCTTGGTACCTCTGTTATATGGTAAAACAAGATGTGGATTTTCCTATAAATCATATCTCAAGAAATAGAGAGAAAAAAACTGCTCCAATCTTATTTACATTCTTCTCCTCTTGGAAATCTGTTACATGGATTGTCTCTGTGATGCTCTTCCTCTTTCTGAGCCTCAGGCACTCATAGAGTACAGTCTTTGGCCTTAGCATGCCTGTTTGTTTTTGCTGTCTGTTGGTCAACTCCAATCCTGGTGTCTCAAAGGGACCTTAAATAACATCTTCTCATTTTGTAGGAGAGGAAATTGAAATCTGGAGCAATGGATTGAGTTGGCCAGGAAACACTCAGTGGGTCAGAGACCAAACTGGACTCACTCACCGGGGTTACTCCATCAGCCACCAACTGCAGTGCCCACTAAGGTCCTGGAGGTGGAGCGGGTGTGAGTGGTGGGTGGAGACAGGTTATTAGATCTGCCGTAGAATGTCCACAGCCTCCCCTTATTTTGCAGTAGTTTGTATTTATGTTATTTATTCATATGCTGCCTTAAACCAGATATGATTTAAAATTCCGTGTATCCATATTTCTTTAAGTTCTGCTCATGGGATTGCATAATGCAAAAGTTTGTATATGCCCACAAACGTTCATGGAGGGAGAGACAAGAAACTTAACAGTTGTATCTTTGAGGAGTGAAGCTGAGAAACAATAATTTTTTATTTCACTCCTTCCCTCATGTACTGTTTGAAATTTGCATGCCATGGGTGAGTGAGCAGCAAGAGAAATGACTGACTTAAAGGATTTTATGGCATATTGAGGGAAATAGGACAGTCATCCATGTCTGATTTAACTTAAGAGTAATTTTATTACAAAATAGCCTCAACACAAGTCTTAAAGAAATTAAAGGTATAAGAGTAATCTAAACCAAATATGGGAGGTTTGAGAGGAAGACCAATCTGTATTTCTTCCCTGCGAGACCCAGGAGGCCTTGCTCCCTTTAAGGATGTCATCTCAATCTCATGGAAGCACAGGTGCATGAAGCCTGGCCTGCAATTGGCGGCATTAGTGTGGTCTTAGCACCTTTAATTAGAGGAGCTCTTAGAGTGGTCTGAATGTTAATTACTCAATGCCCTTTTCTATTGGTGATTTTACTTCCTGTGGTTTTAGTCCCTTTTCTGAATATTACTGTCAGAAACACACATGCTTTCCCAGTATCACAGATAGAGAGAAACTTGGCAGAATCTTATGAGCTAGTTTGGTCCCTGCTATCACCGCTGGAAAGACGTATTCTTATAAGGAACATACCAGGAATCGTCTTCCCTATGCAGGTCCTCACTCCCAGATGAAGGATCAGTGAAAATGGGGGAAAGTGTGTGTCAGGATTAGAAAGATGCTCTGCTTTTTCATCTTTGTACCACCCACTTCATCATGTATTATAATGGCAAGGAATGGGGCTTCTAATTTTGCCTGTGTTTAGGATTTATTTTTTTAATTGGAAACTCAGTTTCATGCACATTTTTTAAGAGCTATATTGGCAAGAGCTATAAAATAGCAGAATGACACTTGTTAAAGTTTGCTTTACATTTCCAATTCTCCTATTTTCTGGCTGAGTCACTGTGAGCAGTGCTTCTTTTTCTGTAAAGCTGTCATTTTAGGATTCACTTGGTGCTCCTGCTTGAGCTGTTATCACTGCTGAATCTCCAAAAGAAGAGTTTATCTTATTAATTAAAACAACATGATATGAAATTCTAACTTCTTAAATTACACTGTAACATTTCTCTCAGGCCAACAGGGATCTCTTTTGGTGGTTTTGTCACAATTATAGCTTCCGCTCTGTTACAGTACCTTACTATTTCTAATGTGATTATAAGCCAACAAAATGTAGGATTTGATTGAGATTCACTGACATATTGCTAAGCGTATACTAAGTTGTTGCAGTAGTCCCAAGAAGATGGATGGACTTATCATTCCTTATCAAGTCACTTCCTGCTTAAAATTCTTGCGTGGCATCCTGTTGCAATGAAAATAAAATCCAAACTCCTTATCTTGGCCAATAAGGCCGAGGAACATCTTGGCCCTGCCTCCCTTTCTGACCTCATCTCTGGCTCTCTCACCGTCACTCGGCTCCAGGCACACTGGCCCTATCTCCCTGTCCTTATCATGAGCTGGTTCTGGCTGTAGGATCTGTGGACTGGCTGTTTTCTCTGCTACTGGGAGAATACTCTGCACCAGGTCTTTGCATGGCCAGCTGCTGCTTGTCCTTCAGGTCTCAGTTCAGGTATCCCCTCTGAGGAGAGGCCCAACCTGACCCCGCTTCTTCACATCACCATTACTCTGTAACCTTACCTTGTTTAATTTTCTTCAGAGCACTTTCCACTCTTTGATCTTGTTCATTTATTTGTTTGCCTTTTTCCTCTACTAAAATATGTGTTGAATGAACGAATGAGGGAATGTCTGTTTTTGTTCAATATTGTGCCAACAGATTTTAGTATAGTGCCTGGATGTAGGAAGAAGTTAATAAATACTGGATGACTGGCCAGATGGCTGGATGGGTGGATGAAGGCACAGTTAAAATGCAGATGGACACAGCCATGTGACATTCTAGAAATCTAAAAGACTGAGCTGGGTTACACAGAGGTATGTACAGTACACACTCAGGGCAGAAGCAGCAGCCCTTTCTCTGCTGGGGCAGTACTAGACTCAACAGAGTTGAGCACAGATGGGTATCCACATTGAAACTGCAACCTGGTGTTTTGTACAAATGAGAAAAACTCAAAGAAGAGTTCAGCCCTTAGAAAGAGCTGGCAAGACTCAGACAAGCAAAATAATCAATATATAGGATGGGACTTTCTGGTTACTGGAGACCACAGTACCACGGTAGGGAATATGGGAATGATGCTCAAGCTTTTGTGCCAGAAACCAAGGCAGTCGGCATTAGAGGTGCAGATGGGTCCTCTGGAGCAGGCAAGTTGCAGCCTGTTGACGTTATTGCCGTTGCTAGTTTATTTCACTCTGTGTGCTTCAGAACTCTGGGGTTAGGTGGCACAAGGCCATTTCCATACCCATCTTGCTGGGCAACAACCAGCTCTTAACCTGAAGTCCTGCAATGGCAGCTTTAAATCTGGGTAAGATGTCTGCAAGGTAGAATCTTAAAAGCACCCAGGTTGGAACCAGGACTGGGCAAGAGCTGCTGGTTTTAATGGCAACTATGTATTTTTCCTAGAATCCTGGCCTGTTGCAGCTAGAAGGAATAATAAGTCTAATAATCTTATTTTTATAGATAAGGAAACACATACCCAAGAAGGTTAAGCTGATATTGGAGACTGAAATTCTGATTTCTTAGTTGTGTTTTTGTGCTACAGAGAGTATGTTGACTTCTCTTTGGGAAGAGAGGGGATTTTTCTATATTTAGCATTTCTCTGGCCAAAGTAGCTCACACTTGTAATACCAGCACTTTGGGAGCCAAAGCAGGAGGATCACTTGAGCCCAGGAGTTCAGGTCCACCCTGGGCAACATAATGAGATGCCATCTATGTAAAAAATTAAGAAATTAACAGGTGTGCTGGCATATGCCTGTAGCTCCAGCAAATCAGAAGGCTGAAGTAGGAGGATTTCTTGAGCCCTGGAGGTCAATCCTGCAGTAAGCCATGATTGCGCCGCTGCACTGTGGCTTGGATGACAGCGTCAGACCCTGTCTCAAAAAAAAAAATTAGATATTAATAATCAGACAATAATAATATAAATTATAATAGCTAATTTTTTTTTGAGTTCTTTCTGTTTTCCAGGTACTGTTCTCAATGATTTGTACTTAGTAGCTCATTTCATTTTCATGACACCTCCACGAGGAAGGTATATTATTATTTCCATTTCCATT